CCATTTTACATTCATTGTGAAGCTGCATTCTTAGTGAGCAGTCCAGGAGGTGGGAGGATCTGGGAGGGAGGGTCTGCTGCTGATTGGCTGGAATGTGTCTGCTGACTGTGAGGTACAGGGTCAAAGTTTACTCAATGATGAGTCTGCGGCGAACCGTTCGGGACATCACTAGTCAGGACTGGACATTGCAGGATATAAAAAAAAATAAAAAAAATAAACCAAAAGACGTACTTACAGTTTACAACTAGATATGTATGTATGTGCATAGTTCTACATGAAATGTATTGTGTTTGAATCTGTGAGTATAGTGAGTAGTGATGTACCGAACGGTTCGCCGGCGAACGGTTCCTGGCGAACATAGCATGTTCGCGTTCGCCACGGCGGGCGAACATATGCGCGGTTCGACCCGCCCCCTATTCGTCATCATTGAGTAAACTTTGACCCTGTACCTCACAGTCAGCAGACACATTCCAGCCAATTAGCAGCACAGCCTCCCTAGCAGACCCTCCCACCTACTGGACAGCATCCATTTTAGATTCATTCTCAAGCTGCATGCTTAGTAAGAGGAGGGAAAGTGTAGCTGCTGTTCATAAGATAGGGAAAAGCATAGCTAGGTTAGGGATAAGGGTATGCTTTTTTTTTATTTTTTTTTTCTATGTAATGTAAATGCACTTAGTTGTCTGCCACTGCTGCCAGCTTCTGTGTCAGGCTCACAGTGCCCATTTCCCCAGTCAGTGCCACCAATTACATCTGGTGTCACAGCTAGCTTGGATTTAAAAACAAAACTTTTTTCACTGTTATAGATTGAATAGCAGTCGGTTGTGCCTACCCACTGCTGCCAGCTTCTGTGTCAGGCTCACAGTGCATGCTGTGCCCATTTCCCCAGTCAGTGCCACCACTTATATCTGGTGTCACAATAGCTTGGATTTAAAACAAAACTTTTTTCACTGTTATAGATTGAATAGCAGTCAGTTGTCTGCCACTGCTGCCAGCTTCTGTGTCAGGCTCACAGTGCATACTGTGCCCATTTCCCCAGTCAGTGCCACCACTTAGATCTGGTGACACAAAGCTTGGATTTAAAAAAACAAAACACTTTTTTCACTGTTTATATATTGAATAGCAGTCAGTGTCCTTAAAGCGGGTGTGTTACGCTAACAGTGGATACGGTGACCATTGCCACCACTTAGATCTGGTGACACAAAGCTTGTATTTTAAAACAAAAAACACTTTTTTCACTGTTATAGATT